TATGCTGCTGTCTCAACTTCAGAGCAAAAAGTAATCACTGATAGCTTGGAACAACTGAGATATAGACTTCTGATAATTAAAAAAGGTGCTTCAGCATTAATGCCCCAGATCTCCCTTTCCAAAATGGTGGATGCTGAGGTGGTTTTGATAAAGCCAACTCTAGCCCAAACTTCCTCTGATTTATTCAACCCTCCAGATGCACCTCCTGCAGACAGTGTGCTCCCTCCACCCAATGAATATATTTGGACCCATCAAGCTAATGGAGGTGAGGGAAATGAGGTAATACTCAACTGTTGCAGAACAAAGTTTGAGTCCAGTGGCACCTCTAAGACCAACAAAGTTTTATTCAAGGTATGAGCTTTCGTGTGCACGCACACTTCCTCAGATACAATGGAATGGAATTTACCAGTCCATACATATTGGCAGAGGGTGAGCAGTAAATTAGCATGCAATATAATATAGATGTTCATCAGATCCAGGGATAACAAGCTTAGTTTATATGGCTACCATTTGTTTAGGTTCGATTTGGGGGATTTCCCCCCCACAAAGGGTAACAAGATATGGAAATGCTCAGACCCCTTCTAATTGCCATCCCATCCCAAGGAATGACGGTGTGTAGGCCCGGTTAATTCTCTTCTCTTCAACTTTGATGCTGTGTAATGCCAGGTCAGTAAGAAATAAGACTACAGTTCTTCCGGAGACTCTCATGCTTTGGCCTGGCGTGCTTGACCAAGACCTGGGTGGGTGAGGATGAGGCAGTTATTCTCACCCAGCCGACTCCCCCAGGATACTTGATCCTCCATTAACATCAAACTGAGGGATGGAGGGGGGAAGACAGAGTGGTGATCCTCATCCAAGACTGTTTTCACTTCCAGAGGATCTTGGTGCCAGATATCACTGGCCTTGAATGTGTTGGCCTGGCTTGGGGTGTCAGGGAGAGGGTGGGATTCCTGTTCATGTACCATTCACCTAGCTCAGAAGCAGACTCCCTTCTATCAGAGGCAGTAGCTGAATGGACACTGCATTTCCCTAGACTGTTGGTTCTGGGGGACTTTGGAGGGTAACCACATGTTTGGGCTGTTTGAATAGTAATATAGTGATAGCCACTTATTTTTAATATTTTAGTGTTAATAGTTAATATTTGTTATTTGTTTTTATGTTCTTTTTAGCTTATTGATTTTAATATTGTAAGTTGCCACAAGAGCCTTCAGGTGTAATGTAATAATGAAATAAATAAATAAATAAATAAATAGATAGAAAAAATGTAATAAATAATTAATTATACTAAGTCTACATTAGCAATGCCACTGTGGTTTTGCTTTAGATGCATATACTTCAGATTGTGATTGTAGAAGATAAAAGTAATATCTTCATAATGTAGGGTCATAAATGATACTTTGTGAACAGGGTCCTAATGGACCGACTACTTTCATTTTAATTTTTTCTGACCACTGTGGTCATATTCAGGGGCCCTTATTTTGTGTACCCTTGACATCTGAGGCTAGGTGGGTGGCAACCCTTCTTGGTTGTGGCACCAAAATTATGGAACCCTCCCTAGGGAAATTATCTGTCCACCTCAATTATTGCCTTCCACCAGCAGGTAAAGACTTATATGTTTTGTTTGGCATTCCTCACTGAAGCTTTATCCTGTTTATGTTTTTGATTGCTGTTTTAATTGTTTTTATAATGTATCCTTTTAAAAGCCTTTTTTACTGGTTTTCATTGTTCAGTGCCCTAAGAACCCTAAGATCTTTGGAAAGGGAGCCTAAAAATGTTTTAAATAAAATAAAATAATAATGGTGTGAGAGAGTGGAGTAAATCACACTGCAGTTCAGTCTCAGAACTATCATACTTAAAATGCTAATTTTAAACAATGGCTGTTCTTCCAGAAGGAATCCCTTTTGGGGATTCTCATGGTTCCCAGTTTTTCTCTTTGCCTCCCAGTGATTGCAGGAAACTGGTCTTGGCTCTGCTGATCCCCTCCATGTTCAGTTCACCTGGAAAAGAGCACTGGGTGGAAAAAAGAAAGGGAATAAGCCCTTCTACGTGCCCCTTCCCTGTTGGTAGAGGGGAGGTGGGACTAGTGGCCTAAGTGAAATTTGCCATATTGGTTTCATTTGTGCTCCACTCTTTATCCAAAAACATTGATGCAGTTTATTAAAATTTTCTAGGTAGCCTTTCACACAGTCAGCTTCAAGGATCAGACAAGTTTTGCATTTGTGTGATGAACTGTGTGATGTGCTTTCAGGTGTACAGTGATCAGATGCCCACATTTTGGTCTATTATACTTTTGCTATTCTATTTCACATATAACTCTGTTTCACTTTAACCAAAGGGAAAACAAATTCTGAATATCATAGGCTATTTTGGAATCCCCCCCCACCCATATTTTGCAAGCAAGGAGCACTCTATCACCATTTTTTCTGAGTTACACATGAAATGCTGAAGCATTCATAATAACTGTTCAAATATGGTAAAAGTTGCACAGTTAATGCATGATGTATATTAGTTATGCAGAAACCAATAAAATCATTGATTTATATCGCAATAATTCTCCAGTGCATTTTGTAATGAGAGGGGGGAAATGAAATACTTTTATCTATTTGTGTTTGTTCTGTGCCAATTGTGCAGTACAATTATGGAAGAACAGTAGAGTCTGATATCATCAGTTACACCCTGCTAACAAAATAAGATAGTTTGACCCCACAAATCTGGGTGGAAATTCAGATGAGGAAACTTACAGCATCCCTACCCAAAGGCTGGCTAGCAAAGTTTTGGAGGACTTGAATTTGTTAGACTTCCCTCAAAGTAATGTAACTAATATGGTGCACAGTTTTAACTTTGCCATTACCCTCCCTGAACCATTCAATACACAGAAGTCTGAACATGTAATTATTGAAATTCAATTCACCGCTATGCATAATTCTTTTCTATTACATTTTTATCTACTCCCTCCTCAGGAACAATGCTCCTACCTCCTCCTCCTGCAGTCATCACTGATAGATGGGGGGGGGGAGAAGCCTTTGGGGGTTGGGAGCCATGCAGGGCTCACCAGCATCATGAATGGGGGGGAGAGAGAAATCTTCACTTGCCTGGTGAGAGGCAGGGCTCACTGTCATCAATAGTGTGTGTGTGGGGGGAGAAAACTTGAGAGCCCTGCAGATGGGAGTCACATGGGGCTTGATGCTATTGACAATGAGGGAGGAGAAGCCTTGGCAAGCTCAGCGGCCCAGAGTCATGCAGGGATTGCCAGCAGTGACTGGGGAGGGAGCTTCAGTGGACCCAGGGGCTAGGTGCTGTGCAGGGTTTGCCAACATGGTCATTGATGGGGATGGGGAAGAAGCCTCAGTGGGTCCAGCTGCCATGAGCTGCAAGGTGGTCACTGGTGTGAGGAGTGAGAAGCCAGGCCCAGGGGCAGTGATGCGGGGAGGAAATAAAACTTGGAGCTGTAGTGGATCCTCCTGCAATTATCACAAGGCCCCACTTATATATTGTAAGAGCAAAGTCAGCCAAATCTGAGGATACTTAAATATGATGACTGGAGCTGCAAACAGACAAGACAGATCTTTCTACAAACCTGAAAAATGCCTCAGGTTTGCAGTAAAATCTGAAGCCTAAAAAAGAGTAGGGGGGGGGTTAAAACCCACAAATGATAGAAGGAAAGCCTGTAACTTTAAAAAAAAGAAGAAGAAGAAGAAGAAGCCTTCAGTGGCAGTTGCTAGGCAACCCCGGGATTCTAGGCTTGGTATTTGTCTGCAAAAGGCAGGGAGAGGAGCAGGGCCCTTTCCAGTGCTGTTTTGGCCTTTGAGGGAGGACTCATCAGGGCCAGGCCTGGCAGCAACCACAGGGCAACTTGATACCACATGACTTGCATGAGTCACATAGACACAGCTGCTTGCTACTGTTCAACTTGTGTTAGAACAATCAGGATTTACAGCATACAAAGAGTGAAAAAAACAAACACAAACACTGTAAAGCCAGTCAGCAATGGATTGGAGCCCCCAAAACTGGGGGAACCCCTGCCCCGACCAGCAGCCTGGCAACCCTAACTACATCTTAGTTCTGTTTGCAGTGTTAAATATAAATTTGAACTGTTTCTCTTACTATTGTTACATTGTTATCTCTTTAATGCAACCTTTTTATCACAACATTTTAAAAAATCATTTGTCAAAGTGCTAGTTGTATAAACAGTCAATTATGGTAATAAGGTTCAAGGAGGTGATGGGAATTGTTGCCCTGAAGGCACACCTTTAAAGTGTGAAATTATATGCAAAATAAGTTAATGGAATCACTAAGATTTCTATCCCCGTGTATACTAAAGACCATTACTGGAGGTGGGTAGGATTAAACACTTTTTATATCATTTAGAAAGTTTATTTTTATTTTTCAATCAATATTTGCAATGGACTCAGAGTGTCCACGTCATTCACATGGCAAACTGTAGCAGTAGTAGTGCAACGTACTGTAAACTGTGTCTGCCTCATGAACTGAAAGAGGTACGCTGACCACTTCCAGGAATCTCGGTGTGTCTCTTAAAATCCTGTCATAAATAGGTGTGAGTTTCCACAGTTTATGATCCAGTTTGTGTCTTCCTTCCATTACCAACTGCTTTGAACTCTTTAGAAAACACACACACAGGCAATCCAGTTATGAAGCTCCCAGGATTTCATCTAGTTTTATCCTGTCATTTAAATGGGAGGAGGTCAGCATATGCCCAGCATTTCAGTAAATCCAAAGGTGCTTTTAAAATCCCTGACTGGTTATATTTCATCTAATATTTTATTATACATAACATTGTCAGATACTTAATGGAGGGGGAGATTTGGGGGTGCTCTAAAATTTCTGTATTGTTCAACTGTGTTTGATATAATGTATGCCTCACTGAAAATGTTTGCTAGCAGTACCCCAACCATACACAGCTTTACACAGTATCTTACTTCTTAGTCTGAAAGTACATTTTCTTAATTTTGTCTAACACTTTCCTTGGCCATTTCCTGCAGATGTGAATGAATGTGAAGCTGAACCTTGCAAGAATGGTGGAATTTGTACAGATCTTGTAGCTAATTATTCCTGTGAGTGCCCAGGTGAATTTATGGGAAGGAACTGCCAATATAGTAAGTATGTTTTAAATGTATTGATTGACATTCCATTCCTTGTCTTGCAAAGCAATAATATGCTAGTATGTGAGACTTTCTAAGGATTACTTAGATGTGAAATATTTAAATCAAGATAGTAGGGTATTATCGTTGGCATTATGTTTTCCTAGCATAAATGCCTGTTTCAAGTTTGTCTTTAAAAAAAACAGTTATGAAACAGTTTTAAAAGCTGGATTTAATTGTTTCCAAGTGGGCAGTTTAGTGCTATTAATAATGAGGTGAAAAGATCAGATCTTGAATGATCTGAGAAGAACCACCTACTGCCACCCCCCAGTTTCTGTGTTGCTCTGAAGAATCCAGCTAATTCCACATTACCTTACTGAAGGTCACATCTGATAAAACAAGTACCTGCACAGAATGGACTTAAATGTTTCTAGTTCAGCTTCTGGTGATAGGGTGGGAGATGAGGATCCTCATCCAATAAAGAGAGGACCAGAGCCGTAGTTGATGCCTGTCTCCTTTAATGCTGTTCTTCTTCTTCTTCTTTTTTGCATTTTGTTTTATTGAAGAAAGAATGTTATAATCTAACACCATCAAATCATTAATATTATGAAAAACATAACTTCACTTTAATGCTGTTCTTATCCTAGATCTCTTATTATTCAAAAGCTAAACTAGTGCCCCAACGGAAATGTAACGGAAATGTAAGCCCAAACATGGGGAATAAAACATTCAGCATCTTTTGAGGTGTGCTTCTAATTCTGTATAATTGGAAAGAGCAGTTCCTCAAAGAGGCAGCTCAGTTTTATAGGTTATGTTCCTGCTATTCACAAGCTAGTATACTGTAGTGGCAAAGAGAATGAGTTGTGATCTAGTGATCCCCAGTTCAAATCTGTGCCACAAACTCAAAAGGTAGCCTTAGCTGTCTTCTTTTGAAATATGAAGATTACTTATTTATTTATTTATTTATTTCCATTTTTATCCTACCTTGCCACAGAGTTGGCTCAAGGTGGCTAACAACATTAAAACACTAAAACAATAAATACACTAAAATGCAATGGAATATACAAACAAAGCCTAAGCAGCTAACAGCACTAGTGAAAATGATGACGGCATGCAATAAACAAAGGCAATAACCAGTCGATGTTTCATGTGGGCCGGTATGTACTCCAGCAGCGCATGCGTCAGTGGTGCATTTGCCAGTTGCCCACTCATCAGTGGCAGCCCCTAATCAAAAGCCTGGCAGGAGAGCTCCGTTTTGCAGGCCCTGAGGAACTATAAAAGGTCCCTCAGGGCCCTGATGTTATCTGGGAGCTCGTTCCACCAGCGTGGAGTCACCGCTGAAAAGGCCCTGGCTCTAGTGCAGCCAACTTGATGTCTCTCAGGCTGGGAAGAGTCAGGCGATTCTTTGTTCCTGACTTCAGTGTTCTCTGGGGCATATGTGGGGAAAGACGGTCCCTCAAGTAGGCAGGCCCATGACCATATAGGGCTTTAAAGGTCAGAACCAGCACCTTGAAAGGGATTGGCAGCCAGTGCAGTGCCTTCAGCACAGGCTGGATGTGGTCTCATATAGAGAAGCCCATCAACAGCCTGGCCGCCGCATTTTGCACTAGCTGCAGGTTCCGAATCTGAGACAAGGGGAGCCCCATGTAGAGAGTGTTACAGTGGTCTAATCTCGAGGTGAACATAGCATGGATCACTGTTGCCAGGTCATCGCGTTCAAGGAAGGGAACCAACTGCCTAATCAGCCAAAGATGGTAAAAGGCTGCCTTGGCAGTGGCTGCTACCTGGGCCTCCATTGTTCAGGTGGCATCCAGGAGCACTCCCAAGCTCCTAACCCTCAGTGCTGGCACCACTGGCGCCCCGTTGAAGGTCGGGAGTGGGATCCCTACCCCCCGGTCAGCTCCGACTCAGGCACAGGACCTCTGTCTTTGTTGGATACAGTTTCAATCAATTCAGTCTAAGCCAGCCCGCCATATCACAAAGCGCCCGCTCCAGGTCATCTGGGGTAAAGTTGGACTGACCACCCAGCAACAAATATAGCTGGGTGTCATCTGCATATTGATGGCACCCTAGCCTATGCCTCCGGGTAATCTGGACGAGGGGGTGCATGTAGATGTTAAATAATATTGGGGACAGTACAGCCCCTTGAGAAACCCTGCAAGCCAGCGGGTACTTCTGGGATGTCTGTTCCCCTAACGCCACCCTCTGTCCCCGACCGTGGAGAAAGCAGACAAGCCACTGCAAGGCAAGCCCCTGAATCCCAGTGTTGGTGAGGCGGTGGATCAGTAGCTGATGGTCAATGGTGTCAAACACCGCTGACAGATCTAACAACAACAGCACCACTGTACCACCTCAATCCAGATGCCTCCGGAAGTCATCTGTGAGTGCAAACAGTACCGTTTCCATCCCATGACCCGGCCGGAAGCCGGACTGACACGGGTCTAGCATGGAAGTGTTATCCATAAAGCTCTGCAACTGAACTGCCACCGCCCTTTCAAGTAATTTGCCCAAATAGGGCAAGTTGGAGACCAGCCAATAGTTGGCCAATTTAGCCGGGGCCAAAGATCGTTTTTTCAAGAGAGGGCGGACCATTGCTTCCTTGAGTGCCCCCGGGAACAGTCCCTCAGTGAGGGACATGTGGATAATATCCCTGAGGGCACCTTGTAACTCCTCACGGTCAGCTTTTATAAGCCATGAAGGACACGGATCAAGGCTACACGTGGTTGGGCATACCGTTGAAAGCAGTCTGACGACCACCTCAAGGCTAAGTGGACTGAAATGATCCAGAATAGAACCAGAAGACATGCGTGGAGCCTCGAGTTCGGTCACTGTCTCAAGTGTGGTAGAGAAATCGCAGCAGAGCAGCAGAACTTTATCTGCAAAATAGCTTGCAAAAGCCTCACGGCCGATATCCAATTACCTAACATTTGGTCTGCCCTGCGGCAGCTCTGTTAATGACCAAATGGTTCTAAATAATTGTGCTGGCCATGAGCTAGCAGACGCAACCACAGCCGTGTAGAATTGTCTCTTCACGGCTTTGATTGCCACCTCATAGGATCTAATAAACGTCCTATAAGATGCTCTTGTTGCTTCATCGTGGGTGCACCGCCACCGTCTCTCTAACCATCTAAGCCCTCATTTCATCAGTCGGAGCTCCTCGGTAAACCAGGGAACCTGCTTAGAGTGAGGGCAAAGAGGGCATCAGGGAGCAATCTCGTTGATAGCTGCCGAAGGCTGACTGTGCCAGTCCTTGACAAGCTCATCTAACGAGCCACCGGGAGTCATAGAATCCTGTAGGGCCATCTGAAGCCACTGAGGGTCCATTTGGCTCAGCGGGCAAGACAAAATATGCTTGCCACCCAAACATTTAAGTCGTTGAAGACTATCAGCCTAGGGTACTCCAATGCCTAGCCTGGCACCCAGCAAAGGTATTCGGGGAGGTGCTCCTGATCTTGGCTACCCAGGTTGATCCCTTCTTGCCTTATCCCTAAACTCATGGGATGGCAGGTTAGAAAAAAGTAAGTCCCGATGCCGTCCTGCTGTCGGGTGTGGCCTATTATGCTAATGAGTTCCTACTGGGCTTTTTCTACAAAAAAAGCCCTGAGTAAAAGTATCCCCTTGTGTCTGAAGAATAGGGAAGGAAATACATATATTAGTGTACATTATATTTTCCATTAAAACTAATATTTATGGACTCTATATAATCAGTTGGATGTAACAGAAAATTGGGGGAAATGTTTCATTATCATGCTACCTTTAACTCCACTTAGTTGTTAGGGTATTTTATGGAGTGTAAATAACATGGTGGATAGGTGGTTTAATGTCTATACTGACTGCAGAACACTGAAATACCTAGGCCTAGGGAGACAACCACATCTCTCCTAAAAGTCAAAATTTTGTTGACTTTTAACATGGATTTGTGAGCTGTAAACATAAACTAGCTATAGCCAAGTTCATATTAAAATGTTAGCTCCTTCCTAGACATATCATAATATTATTCTTGCAAACTGTAGTATCCTGCTTTCTTTCACAAGGGCTTTTTACCACATCGTAACAACTAATTATGTAATTACACATTGTAATTATGTAATTACACATTGTAATTACAAGTCCTAATTACATCACTGCATATATTTACAATAATTATGTAATTGAAAGCTGTCACACTAATTATGTAAATCTCCGATTACTGATTATACCTACCTCAGACCTAAAAAAAATTCACCGTAGTCTCCAAATACTTGAAACAGCAGTAGCGAGAGTTAGAAAACATGTGTAATGATTCCAGACATACAGTTCAATTTTTGGTCCTAGATGGATTTTGGATGAGAGTGTTTTGTTGTTGTCATTTGTTTGTTTGCTTGCTTGTTGTTTATTCTTTTATTTCTTCTTTATTGCTTTGAAGTTAATATCGATCATTTTAAAACCAGGATTCTTGTTTTACTTTTTTGGAGAGATGTTTGACAGCTTGACGTTTGTTGCCTCCCCATTAAATTCTATCTAGTACCTATTAGCCATTATCTTTCTAGAGTTTGGCTTACACCAAATATAAGATGGCAGGTATCACATGCAAATAAAAATAGAAGTATTTTATTTTAAAACATTTATACCTACCTGTAACGATTCCTTGTTTTTGTGTGGGCGTGTCTCTTTAAAAGTTTGGTTGCATGATGGTGGTAGATTGACTAGAGTGGTTGAGAGAGGCAAGTGTGGTATGATTGGTGGTTGACAGAGAGGGGGAGGGGTTTTGGAAGTGAAAATGAGTGGATGAGTATGTATGTCAGTCAGGTTTTACAGTTACAGGTTTGACAGTTGATAAGTTTAGTTAGTTCTGTGTGTGAAAGGAGAGACAAGCAGTTCTGTGTTGAAGCAGTTATAAGCTGAAAGCTGAGTGTCTAGGTAACAGTAAAGTTTAAGTGAACAAGAGTTAAAGGAAAGTCTGAGTGACAGCCTAGAGTGAAACAGTAAACGTATATGGCATTGAGATAAACAAGTGTTACAAAGTTACATGCAAA